GACTCAGGACCAGACCTGGACGCCGCAGCAAACACCTGACCCGACGCAGCTACCTGACCAGACGCAGTGACTGGAGGAGACGCAGTGGTCAGTGTGTACAGGCTTGACCCCGGCCGACGTGTAAACGTGGCCAGGTGTCGGCCTGTCCGAGCGTCCGTGCAGTGGGTCACCCGCTGGCTCGCAGGAGTGAATTGGTGAATTTCCGCATCCTGTAGGTCAGCACCACTCACCAAGTTCGTAGAGAACGAGGGGAGGTAAAGACCAGACAGGGTGCCAGAGGGGGCCGCCGGACACGGGAGGACAGTGGAGAAGTGAGCAAGGACAGGACCCCCAGAGGGGTCTGCCAGAGAGACTGCAACTGGCCGACCAAGCGGCGTGAGTGTGGTGCGGTCTCGAAAGAAGGAGCGAGAAGCCCCCGAGTCAAGGGTGAAGGTGTGGGAGGCCGAAGCCGACGCAGTACCTGAGAGAGCAGACTCACCAGCACCTGAGGAAGCAGACGCACTAGCACCTAGAGCAGCAGCCTCGCTAGCACCTAGAGCAGCAGCCTCACCAGTACCTAGAGCAGCAGTCTCAATGCCCGGGTCGGGCGGAAAACACCGGTAACAGTCACCCTCATCACTAATAGTCACAGCATACATGGCAGCATGAATAGCATCAAAGTCAAGGTCAAAGATAGCTACTCCCGCCCTAGACAGCTCGCCCCAGCGAGGGATCTCAGTGGCCTCAGGGAACTGGTGACGCCAAGCGTCCGTCAGGCGGCCAAAGCAGCGCTGGGTGGAGTGCGCACCCCCGCACTGCTCACCCGCGCGGTCGCCGGTGCGTAGGACGTAGGTGCACGGACCAGTACCCCAACCCCGCTGGCGTGCAGCGTACCACTCACGGAGCTGCTGAGGGGGGGGGATGTCCCGAGTGCGCTGCTGCTGCTGCTGCTGCTGCTGCTGCTGCTGGCGCTGACCACCACCGGAGCCAACCCTCTGCGCAGCGCCACCCCGACCAGCTCCACCTCCTCCGCCGCCGCCTCCTCCACCGCCGCCACCTCCACCATCTCCGCTCCCACCGCCACCGCCGCCTCCGCCTCCGCCTCCACTGCCGCCACCGACACCTCCACCCCCGCCACCACCCCCACCGCCACCCCCACCCCCACCGCCGCCTCCACCGCTGCCTCCACCGCCCCCGCTAGCTCCTCCAGCGCCCCTGCCCCCCTTGCCCTTGCCAGGGCGGCGTTTCCCGCTAGGGGTAGACGCCGCACCGACCGACTCAAGACCAACGAGGTCGGCCGCAGCAGCAGAGGCAACAGAGGGCAAGAGAGGAGAGGGGGAGCACCCCTCAAATACAGGGGCGCGCGGGTCACCACGAGAGGCTCCTACAGCGACTATGCTCTTCTCTGCTGCTAGGAGGCGCTCCTCGAGGAGGTCAATGGTGAGGGTGGTGGGGCAAACAGAGAGAAAGTGGTCCCTGACCGGGCGAAGGGTGTCAGGGAGGCGGGTGACTATGTAGTAGAGGGTGATGTACATAGGGGGGGGGTTCTTGGCGCAGAACTCAGCGGGAAGGGCAGCGCGGTAGCGAATGTCACTAGTGCGGAGGTGCGTAATGAGGTCAGCAACTGTGGGAAAAGCTGCGAGGTTAGGGAAGAGGTACGGGAGGATGAGGCGGCTAAGTGCAGCAGTGGCAGGGGAAGAGTAGCGTGCAACTACAGCGTCGTACAAGGTCTTAGCACTCTTGTACTGGCTAAAGTGCGCACGCTTAGAGGTAGGCAAGTGGCGACGCACAGCAAGACGTGCAGCAGCATCGCGTGTGGCCCACTGTGAGCGAACAGTGGCGTCAGCATCAGCAGCGGGGGCAGGAGAGGCACCAGAGGTGAGATCAAAGAGGGAGAGATCGTCTGCCCTATCGCACTGTAGGAAAAGCTGCAGGTCATCTACCCAGACGTCAAAGTCAATGGCCCGACCCTCAGCGTCAAAAGCGAGGACACTGGGGGTAGCCATGACAGCAGTAGACTAGCAGCACGAGCAGTAGGCTAAGGGCAGCGCAGTAGTAGAGGTGCTGCTCTTACCGGGCAGGCGAGACGGACCGAGTGTAGAGGACAGGGCGGCTCGGACGGCTCGGCGGCTCGGCGGCTCGGCAGCACCAGCAGGTCGGCAGCTCAGCGACTCGGCGGCTCAGGTGGCTCGGCGGCTCGGGCGACTCGGGCGGCTCGGGCGGCTCGGGCAGCTCGGCGGCTCGGGCGGTTCGGTGGCTCGGGCGGCTCGGGCGGCTCGGGCGGTTCGGCGGCTCGGGCGGCTCGGCTGCTGCAGGGGCAGCGGCGGCTGCTGCTCACAGGACGGCGGCGGCCGCTGCTGCAGCGGCGGCGGCAGTTGCTGCTGCAGGGCCGGCGGCGGCCGCTCCTGCAGGGACGGCGGCGGCCGCGGTTGCAGTGGCGGCGGGTGCTGCTGCAGGGGCGGCGGATGCTGCTGCTGCTGGGACTGCGGCCGCGGTCGCTGTAGCGACTGCAGCTGCTGCTGCTGTAGAGGCGGCGACGGCGGGCCGAGAGAGGCCGCGAAGGGCGGCGGACGGGCCGTGAAGGGCGGCACGAGGGCCCGCGGAGGGCGGCGACCGGCCGTGAAGGGGCCGCGAGTGGCCGCGGAGGGCGGCGACGGGCCGTGAAGGGCGGCGCGAGGGGCCGCGGAGGGCGGCGACCGGCCGTGAAGGGGCCGCGAGCGGCCGCGGAGGGCGGCGACGGGCCGTGAAGGGCGGCGCAAGGGGCCGCGAAGGGCGGCGACGGGCCGTAGGGGGCCGTAAGGGCGGCGCGAGGGGCCGGAAGGGCGGCACGAGGGGCCGTAAAGGGCGGCTGGAAGGGCCGTCAGAGGGGCCGCTAAGGGCGACGCGAAGGGGCCGTAAGGGGCCTAGAGAGGGCGCGACGGTAGGGAGGGCACGCGGGGCGCGACTCGGGCAGGAGCGAAGCGCGCTCCGGGCAGGAATTTTTTTTTTTCGATTGGTGGGCCCTAGGAAGCGTTCCCACGAGGGAACCCGCTCTATACCATGGAAATAACGAGGAATGAGATTGACTAAGGGAAAGTTGGGTACAAGTGCAAACCCTAGAAAACTGTACCCCATATGTGCTACCCCACTATAGCCTACAGCAGTTATGTCATATAAATCTGACACATGACGTGTTTCCTGCCTACACTGCGCTTACAGCTCGTCTCAATGACCTGGGCCTGAGGGTACAACCATCAAAATGCTCCCTTTGGGCCCCTTTGGACCTCCCTTCGGACCTCACACCTCCACCAGACATCGTCATTGCCCCTAACGGTCTCACGGTCGCAAGAGTGCCTATTGGATCGGACACCCACATTGTCTCTACAGTTCGAGACAAACTGCACTCTTTCTCTTCATCATTGCCTCTCCTACATGACCTTCATGATCCACAGACTGCCTCTCGCCTCCTTACTCTCTGCATTTCTGCCCGTCCCTCATTCCTCCTCCGTACAGTTGCACCATTTCCCGAGGTAGAAGAGCTTTAAACTGACTGGGACAACACCTTGTTGGACCACTTTGTTTGCCTCATCGGCTCTGACTACTGGCCTCCTGCTTTTGACCATACTGCCACAGCACACCGACAGCCATTCGTTCCTATTCGCCTTGGAGGGTTCGGCCTCCGTTTTTCAGCTGCAACTGCTTCTCTCAGTTATCTGTGCAGCTGGGCACAGGCAGTTTCACTCCTCTCGTCATGCTTCACCATTCACGGCTCCCCTATTTTCCGTCCCTTCATCACTTCAGACACCATGGACCGTCTTGACCCATGCATTCCCACAGCCATGTCCAAACTTCATCCTACCATTCGACAACACTTCCCTACCTGGCCTGCACTTCACGCTGGCTATCCACAGAAGCTATACTCCTACCTTTCACAGAAATTGGAGGCTGTCATGCTCGAGCGCGTGCGTTCCACAGTAACCTCTCCCCAACATTTGGCCCGTTACTTTCTTACAAGGGCCCCATGCTGGTGATTGGCTTACTGTGGCTCCATGTTCTTCGCATATGCAGCTGTCACCTACGGAGTGGTGTATTGCAGCCGCTATTGCCTCCCCATTCCACACCTCACGACCATCCGCACATGCACTTGTGGCTCGGCATTCACAGACCCTTCAGTCATCTCTCACGTCCTCCGCTGCCCATCCTCTAATGAGCCTACCAGGGTCCACAACGCCATCAAGCATGGGGTTCATCGTACCACGTCCGAGCTTGGTTACGTTGTGCAGCTGGAGGACTCCCACCTTCTCTCAGGTCGTCGTCCGGATATCAGCTGTCGTGACATCAGCTCTAGGACTACGTGGGCATTAGATGTTTCTGTTGCAGACCCCTAGCATGGTTCCCCAAACTCTAAGACTGCATCAGTAATCGGTTCAGCTGCATCTGCTTGCGAAACTGAGAAGCGGACCCTCTATGCATCATTGTTACAGAACCGCCCAGACGTGAAGCTTCTTCCTCGTGTTCTCGAAACCTTCGGTTGCTTCAGCACGGCATTTCTCAGCTTCATCAAAGACTGCAGCAGACGAGGGGCAACTCGACTTCGTGACATGGGTGGTGCATCTGACCTGATTCCAGAGCTCTTCGAGACTAGCTACTTCAAGAGGATTTCCTTGGTGCACCAGCGTGAGCAGGCTCGAACCATCTGCCGTCGGACACAAATTCGTTACAGTGTTGACACACCCTCTGCCCCACCAGATCCCACCCCACCTTCCTTAGCTGATTTTGCGTACCTTGGTGTTGGTTCTTGAGACCTCATTGGGGGTCTCAACATAGGGTTGCAGTTGGGCCATTGCTAGTTAGCTAGCCTTTTGAAGCAGAATACCAACAGATGCAGCTCTCTGTTTAGATCCTAGCTACAGGCGAGGAAGGAGAATCTGCAGTGCCACGAGTGACGCTCCGCGATTGCGCGTCGCACGAATCGCCTCGTAATACTACAAACGCTCAGCCGCGTTTCCAAAAAAGCACGCCATCATCAGTGGCGCATCAGCATGCGAGAACGAGGTGTGGCGAGGGCAATTGGCAGGCAACCAGGCGGCCCGTCACTCGCCGTGTGGTCCCCCGCGCGCTCGCTCAAGACCCGCCGAGCCGAGCAGGCCCAGCAGGTGGCTTGGCAGCGGGTTCATGACGACGAGGGCGCTGTCGCCGTGACAGCACGCGCGGACATCGACGCGGCGGATGGCGCGTAGCCCATTGGTAGCAGGGGTGACTGTGGAGGCGACTCAGGGTCCGTGCAGTAGGCGGACGGGCAGGCGACGCACCCTGATGCGGCACGTCGCCGCGCTTGCGCGTGTCGCATCTGCAGCTCCGGTTCGACTCAGACGATGGGTTGGACTGCGAGCGCCCCTGCTCCGTGCAGGACTCGCCGCGCTGCCGCCCGCAACCCGTGCAGTGCGGATGGTCGGGAGCTGCGGAAACAGGCGTGCGGGGAGCGGCGCTGGGGGGAACGGCAAAGGGGCGGAATAACGGTGGGAAAGGGAGGGCGTAGGACGATGGGGCAGGCGGGGACGACGAGGGGCTATGGATGTGCGGAAGGGGAATTTATCCCGCGAGACGATTCGTGGGGAGCGATGGGGAGTGTGTGGTGCTGGCAGGTTGGAATGGGTGCTGCATTCTCTGCGTTACGCCCTTCTTCCCCCTTTCCCCTCTCTGTCTTACACCCTTCTTCCTCTATTCCCCACTCTGCCTTACCCCCTTCTTCCGCCTTTCCACCCTCTCTGCCTTATGCCCTTCTTCTCCCTTTTCCCCTCTTCCTTCCACCCTTCTTCCCCCTTTCCTCTCTCTTCCCTACACCATTCTTCCCCCTCTCCCCTCTCTACCCCCCACACCTTCTTCCCCCACCATGTGCTCTCTCACTTACGTCCTGCTAAACCCCTTTTCCCTCTCTCCCTTACGTCCTGCTAAACCCCTTTTCCCTCTCTCCCTTACGTCCTGCTAAACCCCTTTTCCCTCTCTCCCTTACGTCCTGCTAAACCCCTTTTCCCTCTCTCCCTTACGTCCTGCTAAACCCCTTTTCCCTCTCTCCCTTACGTCCTGCTAAACCCCTTTTCCCTCTCTCCCTTACGTCCTGCTAAACCCCTTTTCCCTCTCTCCCTTACGTCCTGCTAAACCCCTTTTCCCTCTCTCCCTTACGTCCTGCTAAACCCCTTTTCCCTCTCTCCCTTACGTCCTGCTAAACCCCTTTTCCCTCTCTCCCTTACGTCCTGCTAAACCCCTTTTCCCTCTCTCCCTTACGTCCTGCTAAACCCCTTTTCCCTCTCTCCCTTACGTCCTGCTAAACCCCTTTTCCCTCTCTCCCTTACGTCCTGCTAAACCCCTTTTCCCTCTCTCCCTTACGTCCTGCTAAACCCCTTTTCCCTCTCTCACTTACGTCCTGCTAAACCCCTTTTCCCTCTCTCACTTACGTCCTGCTAAACCCCTTTTCCCTCTCTCACTTACGTCCTGCTAAACCCCTTTTCCCTCTCTCCCTTACGTCCTGCTAAACCCCTTTTCCCTCTCTCCCTTACGTCCTGCTAAACCCCTTTTCCCTCTCTCCCTTACGTCCTGCTAAACCCCTTTTCCCTCTCTCCCTTACGTCCTGCTAAACCCCTTTTCCCTCTCTCCCTTACGTCCTGCTAAACCCCTTTTCCCTCTCTCCCTTACGTCCTGCTAAACCCCTTTTCCCTCTCTCCCTTACGTCCTGCTAAACCCCTTTTCCCTCTCTCCCTTACGTCCTGCTAAACCCCTTTTCCCTCTCTCCCTTACGTCCTGCTAAACCCCTTTTCCCTCTCTCCCTTACGTCCTGCTAAACCCCTTTTCCCTCTCTCCCTTACGTCCTGCTAAACCCCTTTTCCCTCTCTCCCTTACGTCCTGCTAAACCCCTTTTCCCTCTCTCCCTTACGTCCTGCTAAACCCCTTTTCCCTCTCTCCCTTACGTCCTGCTAAACCCCTTTTCCCTCTCTCCCTTACGTCCTGCTAAACCCCTTTTCCCTCTCTCCCTTACGTCCTGCTAAACCCCTTTTCCCTCTCTCCCTTACGTCCTGCTAAACCCCTTTTCCCTCTCTCCCTTACGTCCTGCTAAACCCCTTTTCCCTCTCTCCCTTACGTCCTGCTAAACCCCTTTTCCATCTCTCCCTTACGTCCTGCTAAACCCCTTTTCCATCTCTCCCTTACGTCCTGCTAAACCCCTTTTCCCTCTCTCCCTTACGTCCTGCTAAACCCCTTTTCCCTCTCTCCCTTACGTCCTGCTAAACCCCTTTTCCCTCTCTCCCTTACGTCCTGCTAAACCCCTTTTCCCTCTCTCCCTTACGTCCTGCTAAACCCCTTTTCCCTCTCTCCCTTACGTCCTGCTAAACCCCTTTTCCCTCTCTCCCTTACGTCCTGCTAAACCCCTTTTCCCTCTCTCCCTTACGTCCTGCTAAACCCCTTTTCCCTCTCTCCCTTACGTCCTGCTAAACCCCTTTTCCCTCTCTCCCTTACGTCCTGCTAAACCCCTTTTCCCTCTCTCCCTTACGTCCTGCTAAACCCCTTTTCCCTCTCTCCCTTACGTCCTGCTAAACCCCTTTTCCCTCTCTCCCTTACGTCCTGCTAAACCCCTTTTCCCTCTCTCCCTTACGTCCTGCTAAACCCCTTTTCCCTCTCTCCCTTACGTCCTGCTAAACCCCTTTTCCCTCTCTCCCTTACGTCCTGCTAAACCCCTTTTCCCTCTCTCCCTTACGTCCTGCTAAACCCCTTTTCCCTCTCTCCCTTACGTCCTGCTAAACCCCTTTTCCCTCTCTCCCTTACGTCCTGCTAAACCCCTTTTCCCTCTCTCCCTTACGTCCTGCTAAACCCCTTTTCCCTCTCTCCCTTACGTCCTGCTAAACCCCTTTTCCCTCTCTCCCTTACGTCCTGCTAAACCCCTTTTCCCTCTCTTCCTTACGCCCTGCTTCCCCCTCTATCTTCTCTGCCTTACGCCCTGCTTCCCCCTTTCCCCTGTCTTCATTACACCCTTCTTCCCCCTTTCCTTCTCTGACATTCACCCTGCTTCTCCCTTTCCCCTCTCTTCCCTACACCATTCATCCCCCACCATGCGTTCACTGCCTTACACTCTTCTTACCCCTTTCCCCTCTCTTCCGTACACCCTTCTTCCCCCGCCTTGCATTCTCTGCCTTACACCCTGCTTCCCCCTTTCCCCTCTCTGCCTTAAGCCCTTTTTCCCCCTTTCCCTAGTCTCCCTTACCCCCTTCTTCCACGTTTCCACCCTCGGTGCCTTACACCCTGCTTCCCCTTTTCCCCTCATTGCCTTACACCCTGCTTCCCCTTTTCCCCTCATTGCCTTACACCCTGCTTCCCCTTTTCCCCTCATTGCCTTACACCCTTCTTCCCCTTTTCCCCTCATTGCCTTACACCCTTCTTCCCCTTTTCCCCTCATTGCCTTACACCCTTCTTCCCCTTTTCCCCTCATTGCCTTACACCCTTCTTCCCCTTTTCCCCTCATTGCCTTACACCCTTCTTCCCCTTTTCCCCTCATTGCCTTACACCCTTCTTCCCCTTTTCCCCTCATTGCCTTACACCCTTCTTCCCCTTTTCCCCTCATTGCCTTACACCCTTCTTCCCCTTTTCCCCTCATTGCCTTACACCCTTCTTCCCCTTTTCCCCTCATTGCCTTACACCCTTCTTCCCCTTTTCCCCTCATTGCCTTACACCCTTCTTCCCCTTTTCCCCTCATTGCCTTACACCCTTCTTCCCCTTTTCCCCTCATTGCCTTACACCCTTCTTCCCCTTTTCCCCTCATTGCCTTACACCCTTCTTCCCCTTTTCCCCTCATTGCCTTACACCCTTCTTCCCCTTTTCCCCTCATTGCCTTACACCCTTCTTCCCCTTTTCCCCTCATTGCCTTACACCCTTCTTCCCCTTTTCCCCTCATTGCCTTACACCCTTCTTCCGCTTTTCCCCTCATTGCCTTACACCCTTCTTCCCCTTTTCCCCTCATTGCCTTACACCCTTCTTCCCCTTTTCCCCTCATTGCCTTACACCCTTCTTCCCCTTTTCCCCTCATTGCCTTACACCCTTCTTCCCCTTTTCCCCTCATTGCCTTACACCCTTCTTCCCCTTTTCCCCTCATTGCCTTACACCCTTCTTCCCCTTTTCCCCTCATTGCCTTACACCCTTCTTCCCCTTTTCCCCTCATTGCCTTACACCCTTCTTCCCCTTTTCCCCTCATTGCCTTACACCCTTCTTCCCCTTTTCCCCTCGTTGCCTTACACCCTTCTTCCCCTTTTCCCCTCATTGCCTTACACCCTTCTTCCCCTTTTCCCCTCATTGCCTTACACCCTTCTTCCCCTTTTCCCCTCATTGCCTTACACCCTTCTTCCCCTTTTCCCCTCATTGCCTTACACCCTTCTTCCCCTTTTCCCCTCATTGCCTTACACCCTTCTTCCCCTTTTCCCCTCATTGCCTTACACCCTTCTTCCCCTTTTCCCCTCATTGCCTTACACCCTTCTTCCCCTTTTCCCCTCATTGCCTTACACCCTTCTTCCCCTTTTCCCCTCATTGCCTTACACCCTTCTTCCCCTTTTCCTCTCATTGCCTTACACCCTTCTTCCCCTTTTCCCCTCATTGCCTTACACCCTTCTTCCCCTTTTCCCCTCATTGCCTTACACCCTTCTTCCCCTTTTCCCCTCATTGCCTTACACCCTTCTTCCCCTTTTCCCCTCATTGCCTTACACCCTTCTTCCCCTTTTCCCCTCATTGCCTTACACCCTTCTTCCCCTTTTCCCCTCATTGCCTTACACCCTTCTTCCCCTTTTCCCCTCATTGCCTTACACCCTTCTTCCCCTTTTCCCCTCATTGCCTTACACCCTTCTTCCCCTTTTCCCCTCATTGCCTTACACCCTTCTTCCCCTTTTCCCCTCATTGCCTTACACCCTTCTTCCCCTTTTCCCCTCATTGCCTTACACCCTTCTTCCCCTTTTCCCCTCATTGCCTTACACCCTTCTTCCCCTTTTCCCCTGTCTCCCTTACCCCCTTCTTCCGCCTTTCCACCCTCTCTGCCTTACCCCCTTCTTCCGCCTTTCCACTCTCTCTTCCTTACACCCTTCTTCCCCTCTTTCTCCTCTTCCTTCCACCCTTCTTCCCCCTTTCCGCCCTCTGCGGCTCGCCCTGCTCCTGCCTTTCTCCTTCCTGCCCCTCTGCGCCTTCATCCCAGGTGCGCCCTCCCCTCTGCACCTTCATCCCAGGTGCGCCCTTCCCTCTGCGCCCATGCCTCACTTCTCCCTCCCTTTGCTGCTCCCATGCCTCACTTCTCCCTCCCTTCTCCCTCCCTTTTCACCTTTGCTCCGATGCACCTTTGCTCCTATGCACCTTTGCTCCTATGCACCTTTGCTCCTATGCACCTTTGCTCTGATGCACCTTTGCTCCTATGCACCTTTGCTCCGATGCACCTTTGCTCCGATGCACCTTTGCTCCTATGCACCTTTGCTCCTATGCACCTTTGCTCCGATGCACCTTTGCTCCGATGCACCTTTGCTCCGATGCACCTTTGCTCCGATGCACCTTTGCTCCTATGCACCTTTGCTCCTATGCACCTTTGCTCCTATGCACCTTTGCTCCGATGTACCTTTGCTCCTATGCACCTTTGCTCCTATGCACCTTTGCTCCTACGCACCTTTGCTCCTACGCACCTTTGCTCCTATGCGCCTTTGCTCCTTTGCTCCTATGCACCTTTGCTTCTATGCACCTTTGCTCCTATGCACATTTGCTCCTATGCACCTTTGCTCCTACGCACCTTTGCTCCTACGCACCTTTGCTCCTACGCACCTTTGCTCCTACGCACCTTTGCTCCTACGCACCTTTGCTCCTACGCACCTTTGCTCCTATGCACCTTTGCTCCTATGCACCTTTGCTCCCATGCACCTTTGCTCCTGTGCACCTTTGCTCCTGTGCACCTTTGCTCCTATGCACCTTTGCTCCTATGCACCTTTGCTCCTGTGCACCACTGCTCCCATGCTTCACAGCTCCAGTGCTTCTAATCCGCTTCTATGTTTATCTACTTCTCTCTACCTCTTTTCTGACATCCTGGAGTTTCAGCTGGCGTGCAAACGTGACGACCACCTCTATAAGGCCGTGGAGTTAGACGTCGTTGGTGACAGACAGTAGCGGTGCAAAGTGCACGGAGGGAAGAGGTCTAAGGGGAGGTCAGAGCATGGGGGTTGTGTTCCTGGCCGATGAAATCAGCGTGGCGTTGTGAAATCAGGCATTATTTGCTGCATGTAGCTTGTTAATACTCAACATCGAGAAATCCTTCAACTCTTATTCTTGTGGCCACCAGGGTGCCGTTATTGTGTTTGTGTCGATGTATATCTCGATAGCAAGGAGGCCACGTCCCCAATATGTCTACGATGCTGATTGTCTGTCTAATGTTGACCACATCACAACAGTCTCACCCATCTTTGGCATGTAATTTGAGACATGGCATGTTTCATGCTTAGGGTGTTGTGTTGAACGTATATGCCTAGATCCATTCGTTTGATGGGGGCCATTGGGAATGTGTCAGGTTTTAATGTAGGATCTGCACAGACGGGCACACAAGAGCGACAATCAAGGCAGGGGGGCATGTGTAAGCGATATTGTAGTGAGTGGTGGGAAATGGGTGTAGGGGCAGCAACCAGGGCTCTGGCTAGAATTTAGCCCCGTCTGAAACCTAAGTCTCTAAAAAAATTTCGTCTGAGCAAAATATGAGCAACTCTTGGCGGTCTGTAAACTCAGACGAGCCAAAACTCACAGTTTGGGAATTCATACGAACACACCAGAGCACTGTGTGTTCTGTACTGTATGTATACCATACGTTTTACTCTTGTTTATAATAATATACCACTTCTTGTGCCACACAACATACTTTTAGAATCATTACTGAGGGAGGAAGGAGGAGGGAAGAAATCCCTAAGCTGAGTCACTAGAATCACTACTGTTGCTGCTGCTGCTGCTGCTGCTTTCTACAGTGTCCTCTTCATCGAAGGGGTTGTACAACAAGGGAGGTGTGGCCTTGGTCTTCTTGCCCCTGCTCTGCCATCCACCTTCCTCACCTTTAACCCTGGCGCTCTCCTTTGCTGCTGCTGCCACAGCTGCTGCCGCCTCCGCTGCTGCTGCTGATGCTGCTGACGCTTTCGCCATGGCTTTTTCCTTCTTGGAGCGCTTAACGGGCCTTGAGCCTGCAGACATCACCACCTCCTTGGCCGATCTGCGTTTCTTGCTGCAGCGCCAGAGCCTAATCAACTCGGGAAAATCCAGGTCGTACTTCAGCAGGGACACCGTCATCAGCCATAACAGCTTCGTGTCGCAAAGGTTGCCATGAAGCCAGCTCTTTATGATATTCTGCCGCGAGAATCCGCGCTCCCACTCGATCGTCGACAGAGGAAGAACGGCCACAGCGATCCAGGGGTTCACAAGGTTCGGATATGCGTGCGTCCAATCGGGTGTGGAGAGCATCTGCTTCAGTCCCTCTTGAAACTCAAGGTCGTTGTGGTGCGTGGAGAGGATGGTGGTGAAGTTCTTCAGCTCACGCTGCGCTTTCGCCCAGTTGACTCCTGAGGTGGGGTAGGGAAGGATTTTGGATGCACGTCATTCTGAGTGCATGTCATCCTAACGTGCTGCCGAGTGCTCGTGCTATTCATGTGTGCATTGTTTGTATGAGCATATGTCATTGTGCATGGCTGTTGGATATTTTCATCTCTGTGTTTTTCTCCGAGTTTAAATGCTTGATCATGCAGGAGAAATCCAGAGCTTTCCAACGATACCAAGATCGCCTTATTCCGACCAAGATCGCCCAAGTTACAAGTTTTCCAAGACTTGGATTCCTTATTACCTTTTAAGGTTATATCTAATTTGGGTGATTACTTGGGACATGAATATAAAGGGATCTTTGGTTGGGTGGTTAAGGAAGGCAACTGTGACTTTTGGATTGGGGTGGCTAGAAGTTTCTAGCATGGGTTGCAAATGTTGCAACACCTAGGCAAAATCCAACTAGATTGGATTTTGCATGTGACACCTCAAGGACCTCATGATGAGGGTTGCATCCTTGTTGCTAGGAAGGTTCCTACCATCCTTCCCTAGCTCTTGGAGAACCCCTTGTCAGAATCCCAACCACTAGACCATTGGGATAAAAGGGCTTGTTAAGTAGCGGGTCAGTGCGCCCATAACCCCCCAGGCCAACATGCCTGTAACCCTTCCCTAGGATCAATCGGGGATCACCAGTGGACCTCTGACACCCCCCCGCACTGGGATGCCCGAAGTGCACACACTGGGATTCGAACCCGAGACCTTCGCTCTGATACCATGTCAGAATCCCAACCACTAGACCATTGGGATAAAAGGGCTTGTTAAGTAGCGGGTCAGTGCGCCCATAACCCCCCAGGCCAACATGCCTGTAACCCTTCCCTAGGATCAATCGGGGATCACCAGTGGACCTCTGACACCCCTTCCCTCTCATGGTTCTCTTGGAGGTTCCCAACTCCAACTCTCTATGCCTTAATGTTTGTACTTCCTCCACCATTCTAGTCATGCAGCTGCTGGACGTTTTTACATAGTTCTCACTCTCTAGACCATCTTAACGACTGATTAAACTTGGAGATGGTAGCTAAGGCGAAGGCGCACAATCCTACTGAGCGGATTTGCGTTTAGTTGAGAATTGAGTTCGTCGTAAGCTCTCAAAGTGACGGATCCTGAACAACAAGTGGTATCAGAGCGGGTAGTCGACTTTGAGATGGCAAATCATCGTGAATTCTCAACCAATGACAAGTGAGACCATTTTCTAGTAGCCCTGCTCGCGAACTTTCAATTGGTGGTCGAACCGCGTTCTAGTTTGAAGTATCTAGTCCGCGACGGCGATTTTCGTAGAATCGGATTTTCTGGCAGAATTCTCTCCAAACGATTTCTCAAGTTTTCACCGTTCATAAGGCCTCAATATGGTTGGTACGAACTCCGGAGGTGCTAGTGACGAGATGGATAGAAGTAGAGAGGCTGGAGAGCAAGGGGGAGTTGCTGTTGGAGGAGTGGGGACTCACCAACCAGCCAACCCTACGCTACCCTCAACTTCTACACCATCTCCTACAACCGTAGATCCTGTGAAGGCTTTCTCGATTGAGAAATTCATGGGGGAGGACTACGAGCACTGGAGCTTCCGCATGAGGCTGATGTACACCCAATACAAGCTATTGGATCTGGTGGAGGGGATGGAGAACATGCCCGGGGCCGCGGAGCTGAAAGGAGCGTGGATGAAGCGATCGTTCGACGCGTACATGATCATGGTGCAAGCGGTTGGCGGACGACAACTTGACCACCTCAAGGACCTCTTGGGTGATCCAGAGTGTGGCCCCAAGGCTTGGAGGAAGCTTCTGGATGTGCACTCACCGACACATGCTACCGGCATCGTGCTACTCGCGCGGCGGCTGCGCGACATCAAGTTCGTTGATGGAGAGCCGATGCAACCGGTGTTGGATGAGTTGCGGGACATCTTCACGAAGCTCCAAGGCGGCGGTGTGGTGTACCCGGAGCTCGTGCAATGCGTGGAGATCGTGATACGGCTGCCGGAGTCGTGGTCTGCCCTTACGATCAACCTCAACTCTCAACAGCCCCAGTGGAGCGTGGATTACATTCGCGCGCGCATCCTAGAGGAGGACTTGCGGCGGGGGTCAAGGGGAGTTCTACTGCAAGAAGCGCGGACATCGTTGGCGGAAGTGCTACCAACGACCCAAGGATTGGACCCTGCCTTCATCAAGCAACCAGCATGGTGGCAAGAGGAGTGGGGGAGTCATGGGAGCTAGTGGAGAGGAGAAGGATGAGGAGAAAGGCGGCAAATCTGAGGAGCGGAAGGCCGGTTTCTTCTTCTTCGTGAACGAAGGCGCAACCGACCTCACTATGGCTGCCAAGGTTCTCTTACACCCCCTCACTCATTGGGTGATTGACTCAGGAAGCTCCTGGCATATGACTCCTCGTGCGGACCTACTCGATGAGATTCAGCCCGCACCCATCTTTACAGGCGCCAAGGCCAAGGTCATGGGCATGGGATGCGCCAAGTTCATGGGAGCGGATGGAGAGCTCGTGGGGCTGAAGAACGTGCTGTGGGTGCCGGACTTGTGCGCGAACCTGATTTCTACCGGCCGGTTGGGAGATGCGGGTGTGAACACCGAGACGATTGGCTCGGAACGCTATCGTGCTTGCAACGATGAGCGCCTCATTCGGGACCTGCAGTGGAAGGGAGATGTCCACAAACACATGTGGCAGATCCCGGTCCTCCTTTGGCGGAAATCGGGCAAGGCGGCACCCGCGGCATCTATGGAGGAGAGCGTCACCGAGGAGGAGCAGCAAGGTGTGCAAGGAGAGGAGCTGATTGGAAGCGCGGCGGTGAAGGCGTCGGCTACCTCGGGCCAAGCGGATTGGGAGACTTGGCATCGGCGGCTTGCACACGTGGCTGTATCTACATTGGAGGTGATGCACAAGGAGATGTTAGAGACTAAGGATGGAGTCTACGAAGATTAGATGCATAAATTTCTCAAAATCGTTGGTCTCAATTTCTGGACAGAAAAGTCGAGTTCACAAGAAATGCTGTCGACAAAAAGTTCATTGTCAAAACTTCACTAAACTCAGATATGTTGTAGCCCTAGTCCGTGGCTACAATTCCCAAGTTGAATCGTATGGAAAGGAGAAATATGTTTCTAGTTATCAATTTTGGCGCACAGGGGGGTATGCTGCCATAAGAACTTAACTCAATCACAAGAGTCTCACAATTTTACACAAGAAAGTCAGAGTAACAATTATCCAGGTGGGAGGGGAAGGAGGACGAGAGGGAAGGTCCCAAGGAGTCCCCAACCAAGGAAACCCCATAAGCACACCAAATCCCTTCCCTATAGGAACCCCACTTTTACTTTTGTCACTTTCCAACCCATGCCATCCACCTTGCCCAACTTGGCCACACTTGCCAACCTGGTTTGGCTCCTCCCAACCACTTGGCAGCATCTACAGTGATGTTGACGAATTTCCCAACCCCCAAAAGTCTATACCCCTTATGGAGTCAACCCCACAACTTTCCATAGTCACCACAACCAAATATCAAAAGCATACGAACTTCCAACGTTCGTAACTTTCTTGTTCGTGCTCCGATT